TCGTGGAGGTGCCGCTGGATGTAGTCATGCAATATTTCTACAGAGCAAAGCGCCAGTCGAGTACGCTGCCGTTGTCACAGAGGCTAGCCTGGCTAGAAGCTCGTAACCTTGAGGATCGCTCCGATTGGGTTGCCAAATTTCGGGAATCATCCAAGTCCTTGGGGGAGGTCATCAAGGAGACCTGTGTGGCACGAGATGCCCATTGGGTACCACATGCGGTGCCCGGAGCACCCAAGGCAGAGGCGAGCAAGCCCACAGCAGCGCCTGCGGCAGCAGTTCAGCCACCATCCCAGTTTGCATTGGGCAAGCCGGTGAGTGGCAAGAAGGTGGCCAAGGTGATGCGAGATGGCTCCAAGATTTGTCAAGCCTTCCAACATGGACAATGCAAGAACCCCAAAAGCTCTTGCCCCCAAGGTCATCACAAGTGTGGTATCGTGGTCCGCGGTGAACGCATTTGTGGTATGCCGGGGCATGGAGCCCTCCAATGTCGGGCGAAGATTTCACCATGACGGGGCCCAGCGGGAGAGGCGGGCACTTCTGCTGGGCAGGATGAGGCAAGACCCGTAGACAGAGTCAACTGTCAGCTGCCACGGATGGCGGACCTTTATGCGGGGCCTAATACACCTTTGTCCAAAGCCTTCATCTTTTGCGGTTGGGAGACCATTTCAGTGGATTGGATGCGGGACAGTAGCCATGACCTATCCAATGGCCTCAAGCAGCAATCATTGCATGAGCAGTTACAGTCAGTGTGCTTCATTGCAGCAGCTTTGGACTGCTCCACCAAAAGCAGAGCAAGGGAGATTCCGCGCGACTTTGGTGATGGGCGCCCACCACCCCGGCCGTTGCGATCAGAGAAACACCCGCTGGGTCTCCCTGAGTTGACAGGGTCTCAGTTGGTACGGGTGGAGCAGGACAATGCGGCTGCTAGCTTCGTGTTGTCCGAGATCGATCAGCTGGTGGACAGAGGTGGTGGATCAGTCCGCGAGAACCCATACAACAGCCTCCACTGGTGGATGCCAGATGAGGTGGTGATGTGGGAGAGCGGTCGCTGGTCAGATCAGCGGTATTCAGCTTGCTGTTTTGGAGGTGCCAGAGCGAAGCTGCAGCGGCTGCGCCACAACATTGCGGAGATCGCCCAATGGCCCAGAGCTGACTGCAACCATTTTCATGACCCACAGGAATGGGAACCTTGGGTGCAGGATGGTAAGCGCCATTTCCCTTCAGCTGAGGAGTCCGAGTATACAGCAGAGCTATGTTTTGCCATCGCCACGGCAGCATCGTGGTGGGCAGTGCGTGTTGGCCACGCCAAGCTCTATGTGCCGAGGTCCCCATCACCGAGCTGCACTGGCCATCGGGACCATTGGCTTGACCTCGATCCCAGAGCACTTCGCGAGTGGGCTATGACTCCACTAGCCATCAGCCTGGGGTTGAGGCCCTTGGACACAGCTGAAGCAGCTAGAGTGCCCACAAGAGCATGTGTCGAGGATGTATTGCAACAGGGTGCACTCCCCCCCCGTCATGTGTATGTGGGGTTGGGAAGTCATACTCACCGCCTACCGACCACCAAGTGGAAGTCTCCATGGCAGGTGGGAGTGAACTGCACCCCTCAAGACTGGGTCCCCTACTATGTCCAATACATCAGGGAGACACTCTGGTCTGTGATTGCCCAGCAGCCCAAACTTGCGAGGCCGACCTCCTCGCCGGGTTGATTTTTGATCGCTTGAGTTCGCAGGGCCATCGAGGGGCCCCACAAGTGGTCCAAGGACAGCATGGCAGGAGTCACAAGGGAGTTACCCGAAGTGTCCTCTTGTCGAGTGTCGCGCAGGCTACAGGCATCCCTTTTGGGCCATTCTACATTCTGCAAGAGTCCTTGGCGTTAGCTTTTAAGAAGCTTTACCCAGGAGAATGGTTTGAAGGAGTTGCCATCCCCTTCGTGGAGGACTTGGTGAACCAACACCCACTCGACCTGTATGTGCGATGGCGCCACCAGCAGGGGCTGGACATGGAGGGCAGCTGCAACCCCGTTTTGGCAGCCCCTTCGGTGCGGCAGAAGATGAGGACAGCAGAAGGTCAGCAGGTGGGAGCCATCAACCACAGAGCGGCGTTAGCCCCTCTTCTGCCCTTCCACCTTCAGCCAGACCAGCACTTCGAGAACGCCCTTCAGCTCAGCATGCAACCTTTGCCTACTGAGGGGCTTCCCATTTTGGACGATGACTTGAGGTTTGCCGCATCTTTCTCCAGCCTGCCAGGAGTTGACCTGCGTAGGTTGCGAGAGCGCTCCATGGGCATCTTATCAGAGATGAAGCGGCGGTGGAGCACGATCACGGCCCACTTGAGAGGTAAACAGACTGAGGTCATCCGGACAGCAACATTGCAACGAGATGTCGGTTTCACAGCAATTCTCCTTCTTGTGGCCAATTGGGGCGATGTGACACTGCCAGCAGGCCTGTGTATGGGGCTTCCAGCAGTGGGATACGCGCCGCCATATGGAATTTTTCCAGAACAAGTTGCCACCCGTCTGACACGGGATGATGTACTCCAGGACTGGCAGAGCCACAACAACACCATTTTGGCTCGGCTCAAGCCAGGCGCTGATGATGAGTTTTTGCTGCAGCAAAGCCTCAAAGATGCCGAGAAGGGATTTTGTGGTTTGCCCATGACTGCAGAGGAGCTGCAGCGTTGTATGGGTACGGAACCCTATCGGTTAATCCCTCGATGCGTCATCACACAATCATCTGGGAATCAAAGAGTGATCGACGACGCCTATGTTGGCTTGCAATCTGAGCGATCCAGTGATGCGAACAAGCTCACCCTTTGCTCAGCGCTGCGGCCGGCTCAACACCTGCAGTATGCCTATGCCTTTGGAATTCCACCCAACTGGGAGGCGGAAGAATGGGAGTCAGGTGGTGAGGATTGGCCAGATGCCTATCGTTTTTGCCCTATGAGTTGGGATGAGGCTTTGTGCTGCATTGTGGCCTTCTTCCATCATGAATGGCAACAACCGGCTTTTATGATTTACACTGGTTTGCTTTTTGGTCTTCCTCTTGCGGTCACATCTTTCAATCGATACAGTCGTTTTGTGGAGGCTTTATCACGTCGATTTGCCTTTTGTTTGACGAGTTTGTATTTTGACGATGCTCACGTGACAGACCGCAAATCTTGCAGAGGATCAGGTCAAAGGGCTATGCAGACCCTCAACACCCTTTTGGGTACCCCCTTTTCAGAGGAGAAATGTCAGAAGATGCAAAGTACCGGCACCTTCCTGGGCCTTGATCATGATTTCAGTCAAGTTCATTTGAAGGGTCTGGTTCAGTTTTGGGCCCGTGAGCGCATTGAGACCAAGTTGCTTCACCTCATGCAGACCGCCGAGGATTCCGGTAAACTGCAACCAGGGGTGGCTGCCAAGCTCTACGGTATCGCCAACTTCTTTGAGCTTGGCGTGTGGGGGCGCATTGGCTGTGGTGGCCTGGCCCCCATCAAGCGCAGACAGCAGGAGCGCTCCGCAGAGTTGACTGAGGAGTTGCGCCAATGCTTCGACCTTTTGCGCACTGTCATCACCACCCGTCCCTCTCGACACATCGAGATCTGGCCACATGCAGGGCTCCGCTTCCTTGCCGCATCTGATGCTGCGTTGGAGAGCCCAGGTCAGGGTACAGGGGGCTTCTTGGTGGTTTGGCATGACGATCACCGGCAACATCGAGAGGCATTTGTTTCTCTCATTCCTCCATTGGTGTACAGCCTATGGGAGCCTGGTGACAAGAAGATTGCCCAGTTAGAGCTGCTGCAGGTTCTCTATGCTTTGTTTTCGCGGCCGTCCAGGTTTCGAGGCAGACGAGGTCTCTGGTTCATCGACAACACAGCAGCGCTTATGGCTTTGATTCGAGGTCGTTCTGACAATGCAGATTTAGAGCATATGTCTCGGTTGATTCACATTATCCTTTTTGGTCTTAAACCTTGGTTTTTCTGGGAGTGGATCCCTAGTAAGGCCAACTGGTCAGATGAGATCAGCCGTGAAGGCCTTCAGGCGACATGGCACAAACGCCATGGGTTCACCACGCATTTTGCATTTTTCCCCTTCGAGATTTGGTCTCTACCACTTCCCGCGTTTCTCCGGGTTGTGGAGTTTCTCTGAGTGCTTTGGGATAGAAGTGCATTGGGAGAGATTCAACCTGTGTAGCCTCCTGAGTTTACAGGAGTGCGGAACAGGGTGTAGGGATCCAACCAGTGCTGCTGTGCAGGAGACTACCTGCACAGCGTTCCAAAGCACTATCCTGCGAGGAGCAGGTTGAGACCGCACGAAGAGTTTGGGAAGAAAAAGCCATGCGGATGTGAGCCTGGATAGAGTGAACCGTTTTGAGTATCTATGCTTCAAATCTCACAACTAATGTATGTATGCATCGTGTTTGGCAGGCACTGGGTGTGCATTATCATTAGGGTGAGTATGTAAGCTGATGAATCCATTTTGGCTCAAGTCTGAGCCAAACTGGCTTCATCGTTCTTTCTTTTCCCTCCCTTCCCTCCCTATGAGGTAGGACTCCGGTGGAGTATCCTCCCTTGTAGGGGATCACATCATTGAGGATGCTGATCTCTACGTGGAGTTCCACGACTGTAGCACTGGGCGGGAGAGATTCAACCTGTGTAGCCTCCTGAGTTTACAGGAGTGCGGAACAGGGTGTAGGGATCCAACCAGTGCTGCTGTGCAGGAGACTACCTGCACAGCGTTCCAAAGCACTATCCTGCGAGGAGCAGGTTGAGACCGCACGAAGAGTTTGGGAAGAAAAAGCCATGCGGATGTGAGCCTGGATAGAGTGAACCGTTTTGAGTATCTATGCTTTACATCTCACAACTAATGAATATAAATAAATATACATATAGCTATATATATATCCAATATAAATTTATAGAAAATATATATATATACATATCCAACATATATATATATATATATTTTACACGTATACCTCAAATTTGAGCTGCCACCACCCAGCTCTCGCCCGCAGACGGCCCGGCTCTTCAAAGACGCGGAAGCGCGACGTGCCAAGCTGCACAAAGCAGCGCGGGAGTTGTCCCTCGAAGAAGCCTTTCACGTCTTGGAGGCCGAATTTCTTGGTTTTTGGGGTGGAAAAAATCACCAGAAAATGCCCATAGAAATAGTTGATTTACCACCAACAAATTTATGATTTTCATAGTTATGATCAGATATTTCTATCAGATTATCTGGGTACCGTCTAGTAAACGTTTGCTGGTTGGTGGTTTGGGACATGATATTTTTCCATTCAGTTGGGAATTCATAATCCCAACTGACTTTCATATTTTTCAGAGGGGTTGAAACCACCAACCAGTTTACATAGCTATGGAAAATCTTTTTTTTTATTGGGTAAATCAACTATAAATGGCAATTTTCAATAGCGAAAATTACCAGAGGTATGGGGATTGAAGATGATTTAACCATGATTTAACATTCTGAATCCTGGAAACATTGGGATATTCAGCCAGAAACTATGGGGGTAACAATATGTAACTGACATGATTTAACCAATGAATTCTGGAAGATTGGGGTGGTAAGCGTATTTAGCCGCCAAATATGGGGCTAACTATCAGAGGTTTGGGATGTTCAAGGGAAATTGACCACCATTACCCTTTGCATGGCTGCGAAATCCCCGAACTAAATTGGCATTCAAATGGGAATTTCATGTATCATGAGTTGTAAGGTATATTTTTGATGGGGTATAGAACCAAGCATTTTCTGGGGATACAATCGGGAATGAAACATTGTGGTCATTAACAAGCAATATGATATGTGGCTTGTCATTATTGGGATGTAACCTTGAGAATGGTATGAATTTCAGCTTTCCGAAAAGTGGGGAGATTGTGGAGGTATCAGCCAATTGGTACTTGAGTGAAAAAAAACAGGAACTTTAGAGTGATTTTGGAGACGGAATGGCATCAGAGAGACCTTCAGTCCATGACCAGACTGCTGAGACTGAGAACAGCATCCTGTGGCCAGCTGGTTTTGGCAAGACCTTCTACATGTTTCGAAAGCCCTTGGCTGCACAAGAACCCGACTCTCCGTCGGAGCCGGAGCCGACAATTTGTGGTTCCCCTCAATTTGTGGTTCCCCTGTCGCCTCTTGGCAGCATTGCGTCTTATGAGTCGCTGTTGCTGCTGCTGTTCCTGCTCTTGCTGTTGCTGTTGCTGTTGCTGCTGCTGTTGCTGCTGCTGTTCCTGCTCTTGCTGTTGCTGTTGCTGCTGCTGCTGTTGCTGTTGCTGTTGCTGTGGCTGTGGCTGCTGCTGTTGCCGCTGCTGCTGCTGCTGCTGCTGCTGCCGCCGCTGCTGCTGCTGCTGCGCTGCTGTTGCTGTTGGTTGCTGTTGCTGCTGCTGTTGCTGCTGCTGCTGCTGTTGCTGTTGCTGTTGCTGCCGCTGCTGTTTCGTATTGAAAGGTCGGCAGCCTTTTTTAAAGTGGTGCCTCTTGGCCCAGCACCTTTACGACAGCAGCTGCAGAATCGAGGTGGACAAGCTTGCCTCCTTGATCAGCAACCCTACCGGGGATGTGCACAGCACTCTGGCAGGTCTTTTTGAATTACATAGATTTGTCAAGAGAGATCCATGCTAAAGTGGTGCCGATGAAGATTTAGCTAGATCCTTTACACTACTTTTACATCAATGGCTAAATGCGAATACATACCATTAACATCCATTAACCAATTAAAATGCCATACAGCAGTGGTATACAGCAGTGTTATCATTAAGTCATTTTCACGGAGAAAGGGAATCACGGATCGTCATTGTTGGGCACTCAGCTGCCTTGTGGGCAGTTGCTGGGAAGATCAACAAAAACGGTATACGGTATAGGTCACATTGGAGATCCTACCAAAAACAGATGCAACTTTCAGTACCATGCCAAACAATGTTGTTCCCCACATTGACGTGTGGGGTTTTTGTTTTTAGTTCTGTATCCGCTCCGTCCTCCTCCGCGTCCTCACTCCCTCACTCACTCACTCACTCACTCACTCAACTCACTCAACTCACTCACTTACTCACTCACTCACTCACTCACCTGACTCACTCACTCACTCACTCACTCAATCACTTACTCACTCACTCACTCACCTGACTCACTCACTCACTCACTCACCTACCTCACTCACTCACCTCACTCACCTCACTCACTCACTCACTCACCTCACCTCACCTCACCTCACCTCACCTCACCTCACCTCACCTCACCTCACCTCACCTCACTCACTCACCTCACTTTGCGTGGCAGACGTGGGACAATGTGCACTGCCAAGGGGTCGGATGTACGCCCTGGCGTCCCTCTGCCGTCCCTCTGGTGTCCCTTGGGCTCCGCCGCTTTTGCAGTCGCCATTCGATACTCATGGAGTAGCGCCGTCCCAGTCCCAATAGCATCTACTAATGTTTTGAAACTTTTGATTGACATGCACCTGTCCGAACTCACCTACATTGATGATCTACAGTGATGATTCAGTGGGATGGCCCATGTGCGTCTGGGTTGTCATCAGAGCTATTGCACGAGCTGGGATCTCAGTGTGCTTAAGTTCTTTTCAAAGTTGTACGTGTCAATTAGAACAGACATGTGGCAGGTCCCCGTGGATGCAGCCGCTAAGGACACCGTCACGAATACAGCATGCCGGAAGAGGCACGTAGCTCCACAGTTTGGATGAACACTTTACCCGGCATCATCCGAGGTCGCAGCCACCCAATGCGACGAAGAGATTTGAGCTGTCGTTTGCTCCGCAGCAGTCAGTCAGAGACTGGTCTTGAAGCGTGTTGCTGATTTTCCTAGCTCCGCGTGCTTGGGGCAACTTGGCTGTTCCGAAGCAAGGCATCGCGATTTATCAACTCAGCTCATTCAGATTGATTGCCTGTGAGTTTATCATGGCATGTTTTTGCATGCTGCGTCTCCTGAGGTCATGATGCTGGTCTATGCCACTTCAAGAACCACAACCACGCACTCACTCACTCACTCACTCACTCATTCACTCCCTCACTCATTCACTCACTCACGCACGCACGCACTCACGCACGCACTCACACTCACTCACTCCCTCCCTCCCTCGCTCGCTCGCTCGCTCGCTCCCTCACTCACTCCCTCCCTCCCTCCCTCGCTCGCTCGCTCGCTCGCTCGCCCGCTCCCTCACTCACTCACTCACTCACTCACTCAACTCACTCAACTCAACTCACTCAACTCACTCAACTCACTCAACTCACTCAACTCACTCAACTCACTCAACTCACTCAACTCACTCAACTCACTCAACTCACTCAACTCACTCAACTCACTCAACTCACTCAACTCACTCAACTCACTCACCTCACTCACCTCACTCACCTCACTCACCTCACCTCACCTCACCTCACCGCACCTCACCTCACCTCACCTCACCTCACCGCACCTCACCTCACCTCACCTCACTCACCTCACTCACTTCACTCACTTCACTCACTTCACTCACTTCACTCACTTCACTCACTTCACTCACTTCACTCACTTCACTCACTTCACTCACTTCACTCACTTCACTCACTCTCACATCCCTCACTCACACACACCACACTCACATCACTCACTCACACTCTCACTCACTCACCTGTACATGCACATACATACACACACAAACTCACCCACCATCACCCCTCCATCACTCTTATACTTCCTCTTCCCTTCTTGCTTTTCTATGCTCAGTCTAAGTCTAGAGAAGTTGGTAACATGTGGGGTTATCCGGTCCTATAATGGGTATACCTAATTTTGCCTTAAAGCATACCAAGTGCCTTGCATACAAGGTCAGCAGTACTACACCTCAAGTAGACAAATCTGATGAGCCAGCAGACAAACGCAGTCAACAGGATTGTCATATAGCAGTCCACTTTACATTTTTTGTTGGACAAAATCTACCATATATCTAGACGGATTCAAGTCAATCCTAAATGATTACCCGGCTTATACCAATTTCCCGATTGGCCCGAAACCCATGTCGGATCCACATGAGTCATACTTTCATTTGAACTGCAGCCTCAGTGGGTCAGTGAGTTCCAAAACATGATTGGGCCGGGTTGAAAAACTCAATCAGAAAGCGTCAATCGACCTGTAATCGACTTTAGTCGGTTGTGTGCTGAAATGAGATCCTCCGCGCGAGGCGCCTCTGGAGTGGCTGCCCGCCTTTCGCGACAGCGGGGAGCACTTCAATGAGCTTCGGAAGGCGCGAAAGATGGCAGCTGACCATGGTCAAGGGGGGCTATGGGGGCTTTAAAAGCAGCAATGCATGGGGACAATTCTAACGGGGACAAAGAGTATAGTTCATAGGAATCAGTGGATTATCTCCAGTGATTCGCGGAGGATTCGTAACCCTTTAGGTTTACTGGGGGTCCGATTTTGTGATAGCACAGTGCTGATAAGGGGTTTCAATCGCGGCGCAATCGTGGCATCCCAATCAGGTCCCAATTATTCCAGGGTTCACATCTAAATATGTAATGGATTTGACCAATAGTCAATTCATGTGGTAAAAGATTTGGGTTTGGATTCTGAAATCGTGACTAAAAAAAAAATGGGTGACCCCAAAGTCTTCCAAAATTGGTTTGGTCACTTCTAATGGAGAACTCAGTGGTTTTGGGCTATGTACAAATCTAGACCATGACCATAAAAATAACAACAAACTATGAGACAAGCATATTCAAATCATATAAAACCCATGGCTAAACCCATGGATCCCACCATGGATCCCACCATCCAGACGCCGCCATCCGCCTCCAGACGCCAGGCATGGCGTCGGAAGTGCCTCAAGTGCCATCCGGACAAGCAGCCCGAAGGCCACCTGAGTCAGCACTAGCTCCACCAATGGCAAGACGTAGCCATGCCCATCCCACAGTTCTCAAACTTCAAAGACTCGGAAATGCACTGAAATCAGTTCCGTGGAACTCTTTGAATCAAAACAGGGCAGTTCAATTTACCAAGAAGAGCTAAATGAGTCAAAATAGTGTGTGATCCTACTATTCTATTCAGCCTGGATTGGTTGCTGCTACCACCTTGGAACAAATGATTTCAGATGCATCTCTCCAAGTACTTTTTTTTTGCATTGGTTCTCGGGCTGCTGACATGGAATTCTGATACGAACATTTGTTTGTATAGCCAGTGTTTGTAAAGATGACATATTGAAACTGGGTGAATGACTCTTTCGTGCCGGAAATAGTCCAAGAGTCTCCCGTTCGAAAGATGTGGCATAGCCAAGCTATACCTCCTGCAAAAAGATTATCTCATGTTGGTTCGTCATTCATACAAGACAACACTGACCTATCGAATAGGCATTTTCTCAATGGTCCAAGTTAAACCATCTGAAAGCCCTAGGTTTCTTCGTTAAATCTTCGTTTTTCTTCATCCAATCCGGCCGGTTTTCCATAAAAAGCCCATGTCGCAGGCCTTGACGAGGAGGCTGCAGCGGAGTGGACGGCCCAGTTGGGGGACCCAGTTGGGTCAACCAAATGGTGGACCCCCAAAACCCCTGGGTTTCAGTACTAGAATGGCCCATAAATTGGATGATTTGGGATACCCCCCCTTATTTTAGGAAACGGAAACCTCCATGTAACACCTAGTAGATTATAATGATGTTGAATGTCTACATGTTACAATACATGTAGAGATGCATACAAAATGTACATACCGTTTGCACTATGATGTGGTTATAATATTTACACATATAGCGCCCAGTGGTTTTGATGGGGACTTACCACCAAAAGATGAGATTAAACCAACCATAATGGGATATTCATGGCCAATAGGCTTAGGCTACCTGGTTTCATGGGGATTCTGACATAGTCCAATATGGGAATCCCGCCCTCAATAAACATGGTCATTTCAAGAGATATATGGCAGCAACTAACACCAAGCAACTCCGGAAGCCGGAATCACATGTGCCAGCAGCACAACCTGCCAGCAAGTTGGCAATCGCGCTTAGTCCATGTGAAGCTTTTGTGTCATGAAAGGCTGTGCCAAGCCAACCACAATTTATGAACCCCTGCCATATCATCTGCCACTTGTGTTATCCACCTTTGTTGGGTTCAATATCCAATTTTCTACTATGCTCTACATATTCCAATGTTATTGTATAACTTCATTTTTCATCAGGGTTAGTTTAATCACCTATGCATTGCCCATTTCCAATGACTTACTGGTGCTAAACGTAGGGAATGGATGGGTTGCTGGGGGTTGCTGGGATGATTATTACTAGTGATTATGGAGCATTCCCGAAAATTCCCTGCGTTTAGCACCAGTATCCAATGATGAAAAAATGACCTCAGGTTCCAAGCAGCCGTGGGTGCCTTCGAAGCCATCGACCGGCACCGGCAAGCGCTGGAGCCGGAGAACGACACCGCGGAGCCCGAAGCGGCGTGAAGAGCGGCCGCAAAAAACCGTCGGAAATGGCCATTAGATGTCGATTTATATGGGATTTCAATGGGATTAAATGGGATTTAATGGTACTTAATGGCTATGAGACTTAGTGGATGGTTGCGAAATCCTGCACCAGTTGATAGATTCTACAGATGGTTTATCCCATTATTTTGAGGTTTCAACCACCCTTTCGGTGGTGCAGAATTTCGCAACCATGATCACCAGAGAACCTGGTTAAGCAGCTCAGTTGTGATTAATCGGAGGTTTCTTAAAATGGAGCTACACAAAATCATCACGGATATAAAAAGAGTGCCATTTCGTATGAAATCCATATGAAATATGATAAACTGGGGATCCAGTTAAAAAAAAAAACATATGTGTCACCTACCGGGGCACCACCAAGATTTGGAGATTCAATGCGATGCAGAGTTCCAGGTTATACCATTTTTGGGTGTGTCTGAAAGCAGGTAAAAAAAAAAAATCCAGTTCTCAAATTTTACTGGGGAATTTGATGATAAAACAATGAGTTTGGGGCACATGGGAGCACAGCTAGTAGTAATGGGTGTGTTTGAAAATGGCATCTACCCCCCAACAATGGCCCTTTGGTACGTTTATTAAAAGAAATACTGGACAAACCCAGACCTTAAAAATTATAGTTGAGGATACTTCAAATTAAGCAGTTCTGAATTGATCTTGGATGTGCTAATGGCTAATGGAATTTTTATGACAGGACCTAGGCAACAGAAATAGGTTTGCGACTGTCCAGTATTGAACAGAAATTCCATGTGCATGTAATAGATATGTATCCATGCATATAATTGCGTATAAGTACATATACATGTATACATATATACATATATACATACATACATACATACATACATACATACATACATATATATATATATACATGTGAAATTATTTGCATATGTATATATATATATATATATTTATGTATATACATATTGATGTTTAGTGGATTTTAATGGTGTTTAGTGGATTTTAATTGCGTTTAGTAACTATTGATTCCATTCAAACATGGGATTTAATTCCCGCTTGGAAAGGAACTGCCAAAGATGGAACCACCGGTGATGTTCCAACCACCTTCCAGATCCGAAATATAGGTGTTGTCTATGAATGGTACCCCAATTTTTACACAAACCCTGATGACATCCTGGATGGATTCTAGTCATACACCTGGTTTCTTGATGGGCTTTAGATGAATTTACCATATTTTTTGGCCCTCTAAGTGATGTATTTTGAGCAGAAGAAACCGTCCGTCAGTTGCGATGGCACCCCTTTTTGCACCCCATCGCAGTGGAGTCATGGCTCACCCGCTGAATTTCCCCGGCGAGCCCGACATGGAGATGCTACAGGCACCGGTTGGGTTGGGATATAGGGTTACGATGGATTACTTCCATATAGTCATCCCCAAATAGATGGAAAAGTAAATCCCTACTAATCTGATGGTGATTTACTTTTCCATCTATTTGGTGATTACTATAGGGATTTCTTAAGCTAGTTTTATGAGGCTACAGGTTTGACTGGTTCATGACCATGTGGATTCTGTGAACATCATGGGGAACAAAAATGCTGATTGAACTAAACCATTGTATAGAGATATCACGCGCTTAAGGGGATGGCCAATGTGATAAGTGTACGCCATAAAGCTGCAATTTGGAGTTGGGATCTTACCCAATAATGGCAATGGATCGGGTACCGAAAAAAATGGGTTTGGCATGGGCCCTGAAAATGTGAAAACCCAAGGTTTCTCACGATTTGATGCCTTGGTTTTCCCACACCCATTTCAAACATGGTCGTCCAGGCTTGGGTCTGCAATCCAATGGCTGTGTCCGAAAATGAACCGATAAACCCATGTTTGGGACCCTTGTGAGAGGGAAAATCAAGACAAACCATGGGGTTTCCAAAGTGGGCCATTGTGAATTTGGGCTTGACCAGCGACTGTTGGTGCACTTCTTGAACGTTCGCCGCTGAGTGATGTTTCACACCCATGTCGACGCTCATACCCCCACATTGGAAAATCATGTTTGTTGACCCACCCCTGTATTATTTTGTTTGCTGATTGACCCGAGATGCCTAAAATGACCCCGGTATCCCCCAGTGACATCCTGAATCGTGCGGACGTTTTCAGGATGATGTTGCAGTCCGGAACTGAGAAAATTTGAAGTCAAAACTGATGGGTCTTAGGTCCTACAGGAGTCTTAGAATTGGACGAAGGAACTGAAGGGACAATCTAGAGGAATTGACGGGAAACACCATGGTTTCCAATATTATTCCACATGAACCAAATGAGTCGGATATGCCAGTCCGAAATCCGAGTTAAGCAGAGTATGGATGTTTGAAAAATCTTGACTTCAAATCTGGTGATACCTCCCATTGTATCTCCATTGTATCTCCCATATGTTTGCACTTCTGGTTACTTTGACACCAATCAAAGTGTGGCTACAGATTGGTGATGTTCGGTTAGTTCCAGTCCGGTACTAAACCTTGGAGGTTGCAACGCTGGCCGACCTGGAGGCTCAAAGCGTTGATCGGAGGGTATGAAATTTGGGATGTGTTCGGATTGTTATCACGTACCCTCTGTCAATGACTAACAGGGATAGCTATTGAAAATGGCCCGTTTGAAATCGTGGATTTACCCATTGATAGCATGGTGGATCTGTCCAGTTCGTTTTTTGTTAACGCTGGATATGATGCTTGCGATCCACTGATTTAATCGAAGTCAGAGTTTTCAGCTGTTCACAAATAGAATCTCTATCAATGTTATATATGATGTATATATGATGTATATGTACATAATATGATATCATATAGATAGATAGATAGATAGATAGATATAGATTACATCATATCTGCTCAAGACCTACCGGAAATCCAACGTGGCCAGGTCGTGCTGAACAGCACGTGCCAGGCAAAGGGCCCAAAAGCGTGGAATCTGGTGCATCCGAGGTAGCGAATCATAACTAGTTTACTGAGTTTGCTGCAATCCATATTCATACAAATAAATAAATAAATTCATAAATACATAAATACATAAATAGATATATAAATAAATACATATATATATATATGGGTATAGATATAGATATATAATTATATACATATATAGTTGCGGTGAAAAGCTATCCCATGAGTGACTTGGTGATAGCCACTGCGGCAACCAATGCATTGGATTTGGGGAGTCCTTGGTATCCTCGCTATGGAAATCCATGTACAAACGGTGGAGAAACTCCACATCTTAGTTTACTGAGTTTAGAGGATTTAATGTGGGTAAAGCAATGCCATGTTTACCACCCATGACTGGAAATGGTTTATACCACCTATTAACCAACATTAAGCAACATTAACCAACATTACTTGACAAACATTCACCAACATCCAGCAACATCGCAGTATGGGAGGCATCACAACTCTACAGAACCTTCAAGTGCACACAGCTGACAATGAAGAATGATGTGGGTAAAACAATTCCATGAACCATCCCCAAGTCATCACCATTTTTATAGGTGGCATGGTTACCGTTTCCAAATAGGTGGTTTATTGTTTTGCCCACATGAATCCCAATTTTATCCGATCAAAACGCTATCATCATCAGGCCACCATCCTGCAGAATTTGAAATCCTGGTGTGCGGCTGCCCACCCACCTGACGTGGAGGCTGGTTAATGGATGGTGATTCCCCCAGTGATATGGTAATTTTATGTGGGTAAAACAAGAAACCATCAATAATCACCATATACTAATAATTATGGATGATGAATACCAGGTGATGAGAAAATAGACCATAATATTCATGGATGATTGACAATAGCTTGTAACCCATCCCCTCATGTGACGTCACTTTTTCCAGAAAAAAAACGATGGAACCTTCAACTTGGCACCAGCGATTTTTGCAGAAAGCGGAGTCAAAATGTCAAATGGTTCCCCCATCAAAACAGGATCGAGTCGCCAGTGCTACCCTCACCATGGAAAATCCTCGTGGAAAATTTGGTGACACTGATTTGTCCCATTTAATTAAACCTCCATTTATAGATGGTGTTCAATGGTTTTCCTAGCCGCAATAGATGTTCATCTACCTGATGCAGGTTTTATCGCCGGAGGCCTTGCAGAAGTTGCAGAGCTTGCTCATGGAGGTGATGGGTATGATATCCCGGTGTCTCTGAAAATAGACGAATGTGGGCTAAACAATGCCATGTTTACCACCCATGACTGGGAATGGTTGAAGTTTATACCACCTATAAACATGGTGATGACTTGGGGATGGTGTTCACATGGCATTGTTTCACCACCATAGAAATGGCAGTTGCTTAGATGAACCGCTGGATTTGGAGAGACGTCAGATGGGGGGATACCCATCTGGGAAACTGCCGATGATGATCCAGCAGGGAGTTCAATCAATGGATATATACGTTGGATATGCGTTGTTTCATGTTGCTATCAACCAATGGGGATATATATATGTTGGATTGTATGTATATAGGATATCTACAATCAATGGGGAAATATATATATATACTTTGGACATATGTTGGATTGTAAAATGGTAAAACTTAGATGGATGCGTAATTGTACTTTTTGTTTGGCTATATTTATGGTGATAAATTAGTGATAAATGGATAAGCCAGCCAAATGACTATTCGGCCTACAGGAATAGCTAAGATGCTCCAATTGGCTCCAATTGGCTTCTGTTGAAACCAAGTGATGGATTTTGTGGGTGTGATGTGCTTGATATTTTGATGGAGATTTACCCTCTGGTAATTTAACATAGCTATTGCACATGCCCATTTATAGTTGATTTACCTATTAAAAAATGGTGATTTTGATAGCTATGTAAACGTTTACTAAGACTTCGCCATGAAGATTCTCAGCTTCATCCGCAGGCAGTGCGCCGCAGCGCATGGGATGATGCGTTGCTGGCAGCCTGTGCTGGGGACTCCCAGCGGCGGGGAATAGTGATTTAACTGTTAAATAAGTGGCTTTGAGCATCAAAACTGT